CCACCATGTAAATCCAATATCAGGCGTAGACCACCGTCCCTCTTCGGGACCATAAAATATCTCGAGTAGAAGCTGTGGAGCTCCTCGGAGTAGTCTAGTTTTCGAATTGCTCCTTTATGAAGTAGTTAGGAAACTTCATCTTGAAGGATTGGGGAAGGAGATATATATCGGATTGGTCCCGGTGGGGGGGAACGGTGTCAAAGTTGATTTTATATCCGTGCTCCATAATGGAAAGTATCCACTTATCAGATGTGATGGACTCCTAAATGGGGAGACGACTTTGCAGTCGATCCCCAAAAGGAAGAGGGGAGGGTGGGTTGGAAGATCAAGGAGAGGTTCGCGCATCCCATCAATGCCGACATTTGTCAGTTTTGGGATGACAGGCCTTGCTGGTACCAAGGCGCTTTTTTTCTGTGGTTCCTTTGTTGACGGAGTTGGAACTGCTGACAGCCAGCATACTGGGGTATGATAATGATATTGAGATCGAGACCAAGGCCACTTATATAGACTCTGGGCAGGTGTCTCCATATGACGGGCTGTCACACGTGCCTTATGGATGTTCTCCAACTTATCATCCGTTTTGGTGTTGAAGAGTCTGGAGCTGTCAAAGGGCATATTCTCTATGCATCTCTTGGTTTTGTCAGGAAGGTTACCTGAGCGTAACCAGGCATGATGTCGAAGGGTGATGGCACCAACAAGAGCCCTAGAGTTGCAATCGACATGATGTCTCACCGTGTTTAGTTGTTGTATGGCCAGCTGCATGGCTTCTTGTGTAAATATATGAGCAAGATCCCTCTGCTTTTCTGGGAGACTCAAAGTGATGGATTCAAGCTTCTGCATGATAAAATTTTGATATCTCGCCATGGTAGCCTCATAATTAGAAATGCGAAGCCCAAGTCCCATGGCAGCATAGATGCGGCGAGATATCATGTCGATCTTCCTGTCCTCTTTGTCTCTAGGTGTGGAATGTTCCTTGTTTCTCCAACACTGGGATTAAGCTTGGGATGCTTTAGAAGGAACTGTATGTCTTTTTCCTGAACTTTAAACATCGATTCAAGCCTCCTGGACATCGGGTGTGGCTGGTTTGGTAGTTGCCAGGTGTCAGTCATGGCTTGCCGAAGAGTCATGGCAAGAAGATGGTGGAAGACTCTTCCTTCCTGCCAATATTGTAAATATTGTCCTGGTTGGGATCAATGAGATATTGTACACTGATCTCCAATGACCTGGTCATCTGTGCCATCAGATTTCCAAAGCTGGAATAGGAATCCCCAGGAGAGCCGGAACTCAGGGTGGAGATGACAGCATCTGGTGAAGTAAATGTTTGCTCGGAGTCCTCCAAATCTGAATCAGAATGATACAGGGGACTGGATGATGAATCAGCAGAAGGCAGAGGTCAGGAAAGAGCCACAGAAGTTGAGGGGGCATCACTCAGAATCAGATGCGGAGTCAAATGATGAGGGTGGATGGAAGGCCTCAGATAGTAGCCGTAGGGCGGACAGAAGTCCCATTGGTAGGACTGAGATGGGTCGAAGTCTCCGTATGGCATAGGCACCCAAAACTTGGAAGGCAAGACTGGGGCGTGTTGTTGTTGTTCAGGCTGAGATTGAGGAGGAGCCCTCAGAGATGCCTCCAGGGAGATTGGCATTGGTGTCAGAGAGTGTGCCGACAGCAGTCCAGTCTGAGATCATGGGGGTGAGTCCCAAATCTCACCATCAGACACGGAGCCTCTGACCACAGCATCAGAATGGTCCAGAGTGGACAGGGCCGAGATGACAATCTATGGAGGAGATCCTGGTGAAGATACCTCCATGACCAATTGAATGTTCGGACCGGTTGGTGTCGGGATTGAAACGGCGTTCAGTACTGAGAGTGTGGTAGAAACTAACTCTCTGCGAGGCCACTTAGCAAGCTTGTGATGCTTGCAGTCTGACTTGTTGGCCTTGTCTTTCTTGACCCTCTTCAGCACCGAGGAGTCATCAGACCCAAGGTGCTTCGTCTTCTCCTTCTGTTTGTGATGAGGAGAATGAGAGAAACGTTTAGCCTCCTTGGGAGTCGTACCATCAGTCGATGGATGAGGAGGAGTGGCATTGGATGGACCTGCTGCTGCAACCTCTGCCGGAACCTTTGAAGAGGCGACCAGAGCTAGGTCCCACAGGATCTTCCGCAAGCTGTTCTGATTCTTGCGGTCCTGCCTAGTGAAGGATTGGCAATGGCCACACTTCTCAGTCCTCTGACCTTCCCCCAAGGACAGAAGGCACAGGTCATGCAGATCAGTGGGGGACATTTTAGTCCTGCACTGGGAGCACTTATGAAATGCTGCTCGCTGAGCCATCGAAGAAAGATTGAAAGATATAACGAATGAGAGGAAAGGTTTAACAAGAGTAACGATAGAAGGAGATGGGAAAGGGGAAGGGAAAAAGGGGTAAAAACTTTTTAGAATGGGAAGGTTGGAAGAGGATATCAAAGAAGAAAAAGGTGAGCATGAAAGATTGAAGACAAAAAATTGCAAGTACAGCTACGAGGGAACAACGAAGTCTCAAGGCACAGCGAACAGTGGTCACAAGAAGACTGGGGAAATGGCAGGCACTCCTCCCATTTATACTATGGGGGGGAGGGCACGGAGTTCCCGCCAAAAACCATTAAAACTGTTTAATCTTCCCGGCAACAGGCACTGCGCAGGCGCAGCACCCATAATGTGATACACAGAGGCCATGATGAAGAACAAAATAATTGGTGACTAAAATGAATAAATACATAACTGGCAGGGGAAACAAGAGGGAGTGGCAGTGCAAATTCCACAAGGGGAAGAAGTAGAAGAAACAAATAGCCAGCCTCATTTCCTCACTTCTTGCATAAATCCAGTTTTCTATGTGCTAGAAAGGTCACTTTGCAGTGGGGGGGCAGCATTATCTTTTTTGCCTTTTCTTTAAAGAATGGGTAGAGATATTTGTTTTATATTATGTTATTTATTTATGATTGTGAGCCGCCTCGAGGCTTCGGCGAATGGGGCGGCATAGAAGTTCCATAAATAAATAAATAAATAAATAAATAAATAAATAAATATTTGCTACAGTGATAGAAATGAGAGGCCTTCACAGAGCAAAGAGAAAAGCAACACAAATAACCTCCCAAAAGACACAAAATCATGTGACAGTACTGCATGGGGAAGGAATCACTTTGCTTGCACATGCCAGCTTTTTATATTTTGATGAACACTCTTTGACTGCAGCAGTACTCTGGGAAGTTCTAGTTAGCTCTAGCACTGGAATGGAGGTGACACCATTTATTAGCATGCTCAATGTTACATAACTTGTAATGACTTGTAATGCATTCCACTACGTACAGAAGTTAATTCTAGAAGAGTAGTCAGTAAGCAAAGCAACAGGTGCAGTGTGTCATCATATTGCAAATTTGAGTGTTATCAGGAGGAAAGACCTCTGAATTCTCTGTAATAAATGCATATAAGCTTATTAAAGAATGATAGTTGAACCGTTGTGTTGTGTTTTTACAAGATGGATGAGTATGAGTCTGTCTCACCATTTAACTAAACATGTTCAGGTACATAGGCAATAGCCTTCTTGCTAAAATCTATTAACAAAAAGGCTGCATGCCACACTCACATCTTATCCAAGTACCTGGCTTTTGCTGCCTCTGTCCCACAATTATGTCTCATCACCCAATCCCTAACCCTAACCTTAACCCAATCCCTAGCATCAGCCTGCCTTTCCACTAAGTACTGCCTCCAGGCCTAAGAGCTGAAACACAAAGAACCATCACAGAGTGCCAGTTTTCCCTTCAGGCTGCAGGCAGAAGACTAGAGGAACATTCAAAAATACATTTTAAAAACTATCTGTGCATAGAATGTGGCATGATTGGCAATAGAACTTCCTGGCACACTGCTTTGAAAACTGCAGGACTTTTTCCATGCAGAGAACGTTCAAATAAGCAATTTTCCACGTACAGACTGCAACATATGAAGAAGTACACTACATAATTCTGTAGATTGTTCTTATCATTTCATGTGTTCTTCCTACATTGCCTTTTTTGTTCCTCATTTCCTCCATTATCACAACCACACCGATTGTTGTACACTACATGGTGAGGACTCCTTTTTCCATTTAAACAATGTGACCAGTTGCCAGCTGTCTGTTGAGCGTTGCACTGCCTTCTTTCAAATTGCCACTAGTGTTGAATATGCAAGCCCTCTCTTCCCCTCTCAAGAGGAGTGCTCTGCCTGGGAGCTGCCCTGCTGTCCACCAGTACATCCTTACCCCTTTCAGCTCAAGCTGGTTTGAATGGGGATGCCTGTATGGTGTAGAATAGGACAGCAACAGCAGCATCTTCAGGTGCTGAGAGGCTTCTGAGAGAGAGAGGAGAGAAGAGGAAGCTTGCTTTTGAGTCTAAAGGGTGAAAAGAGAGGGTACTGATGGCTGAGATGATGGAAAGATGAGAAAGAATAGGAAAGAGCAACACATACGCATCCCAGTTCCAAGCTCAGCACTATCTACATGGAGCTGAGTCTTTTGAAAAATCCACCACCTCCTCCACCTCCTTCTCCCTCAAGACCTCTCAGCTCTAGGGAGTGCTCCAGGTCCTCCACCCGCCCCCCCCCCCCAATCAGCTCTCTTGAGAGATGTTGAGAGGGTAGAGGGGGCGGGGGCAGTTCAGGCAACTCTAAAAATTACTATTTCAACATGATAAAACCTTATAGCTGCTGAATTCGTTTAAATAGTGGTGTTTATCAGCCAGAAAGAATGCCAACAGTTGAAACAGGTTCAGTTGATATACAGACTGATTTTATTAATATGATGGGTTTCAATAAGTAATTCTTAGATGATTTTGATGCAGGATAAAAAGTATTTTCGCCATTTTATTGCTTTCATAGAAAATAAATTAATAATTTAGCATTGCTCATTCTTCATTCCAATCTTAAATTTTGAGATCAAGGCCATAAATACCATATGATTATAAAATATTATTACATATGAGTGAAGACTTACTGAGAATGTTGACCCTTGACAGGAAACAACGACTGAATGAGTTGTGTCTCCCAGCTGGACTGATAACTCCCAGTTTCTTGTGCCAGGTTCAGAAATGGAAACCCTAGAAAAATGACAAGATGAAGAAGAATGTTTTAAGTGTCTTCAATCCATATTTCATCACAGATGATTATCATGTTGTGTCAACTGTAGTTTCAATCATATCATCTAGAAAAGGAATAAGAAACAAACTCCAAAGGGGTTTGTGGTCAACCCTACCATGTCACTGAATTTGTCACTGAAATGTGCAGTGGCAGAAAAACTGTTGCTTTCACTTTAAACCAAGGTATGTAGAGGGTTTGCAGCTACATCACTGAATTGCAGTAGTAAAGTCAGGGGTGGGAAGCAGAGTGAGGCCTTCAGTGGCATACAGGGAGCAATGTGGGCCCCCTTCAAATCTAAAAGTTACCCAGCTAAAATATATGAATAAACTTTATCAGAAGCCAGGATTTATTTACTCTATCTCTGCCCTAGTTTCAGGCAACTTCTAATACCTAAACATTAAAATCATTAAAATCCTGTTATATAAAATAGCAAGTATTAAATATTTCAGTCACCTTTCAGTCATGCTGAAGTCACTGGGCCACACATGCTTCATGGTCATAGAGTCTGGATTGAGTTACAATGTACTGATCAATTTTAGACCTGTAAATTTGCAAGGACTCAGTATTTGGAGTATTTTCACTGGGCTGAAATTTCATGATAATTTGCAAGAGAGTCACAGGTACCCATACCTGTAGGAAGTATGCCATCAGGAGTGGATTGCCTAGTGAAACCCACATGCTCTGCATGTAGACTATGGCAGTTGCAACTCATGGCACCCTCAAGTTTAAAGTGCATGAGGAAGTCTTCATTAGAAAAGCTTCATCAGAAAGTGCAAATCTAAACTGGCCATCAAAATGAAAAACAGAGCCCAGCCCTTCATCATGATTTATCCTTGCCACTGCTGCTACTTTCACATATCACAGGAATCCTCTACCATAGAAGCCACAGTATGTTGGTTGTGAGCCTGAGAGACAATTAGACTCATCCTCATGTTGGTCTTCTCCTCCCCCTTGGAAGGAACCTCAAGGGATTGCACGAGAGGAACAAGCCTTTTTCCCCTCCTTGCCATGACTGCAAGCCTTTTGGGGCTCATCATGACTGTTCTGCTTTTCACTGTTCCCCTCCCAACAATCAGAAAAGTTGGCTGTCAAAGGAAAAAAAATGACAGTTAGCTGTCCAAACTTCTTTTTACTTGTAAAAAAAAAAAAAGAGTGGGAAGTGCACATTTACACTTTTGCAAGCTCAAAGCAAAGTCCAAAAATGTGCAGTCTTGTGGGAACGAAAATGGGGTGATTGAGGTTCTTGCTACAAAGGGGATTTATATCACCCCCCAAAGACCTTTTTGCAGCTAAAGACTCTTTGCACCTTTGGTTTTTCTTGACATCTGCCAAGAAAAGAGGTCAGGGCAGAGTTTGCACTGATTCCTCTTTGGCAGCGGACATCCACATGGATGTCCGCTGCTCCAGCTGAGGCTTCAAACCACTATAGCCACACAACTGCAGTTATTCACAGTTGTGTAACTGTGGCTAGAAACTTTTTAAAAATGCATTTTAAGGGGCTAGCTAACATGGGCAACCCCTCCCAGCCACCACCAAGGAACTGCTCATATCTGTCAAACTGGGATGTACCCTTTTCCTGTAAAGAGTAGAAAGCAGCAGAGGGCAGGGGAGCCAGTACTCTCAAATATTGCAACCATATTCTGGAGGGAGGTGGCACTGACCCTCACCTGGGACTCCCATAGCAAGGGCAGCAAAGATATTTTGTGGCTCTTGGCATGGGGCTCCCAGGGTTGGGCCACTGCCCTTGGGTCAGTTGACTAGGTTTGGATAACAAGGCACTGGGGGCAGAACAACCTCTAGAACAAGCCATGGGTGGTGGTTTGTCTTCCCAGACAAAAGCCACCTTGGGGATATCAGTCCATGTTTTCATTCCACAACAGTACATTGTATTGTAACCCACAATGGGCTGTTTTACCCACAATACAATACAATACAATACAATGCAATACAATGGGTTGTATTGTAACCCATTGTAACCCACAATGGTCTGTTTTGTCATGTAAACACAGTCACTACTTTTTACTGTTTGCAACAAAAGAAGAGGGGAAAGTACCTTTCAAAGTATGAGTCAAGTATCATCTTGCTTTCTTTCTTGCTTTGATTTTGTATTGAATTGTGACTGCTATGGACATTGTTTAAACATGAAAACACTGAACCATTTTCTTTTTATTTAGAGAAATATTAAGAGAGAGACAAAAGTATTAAATTCCAGTCTTAGAAGATGGGGTTTAAAAAACAACAACAATCTTCCAAGTTCTTTTGTTGTTTTTATATACTGATTTGCTACAGCAAATTTTGTAGCTCATTCATCCTTTCTAAATACTTCTTTTTGCTAAAATAGATTGGAGAGCAAATCAAGTTGCAAATTTTAAGAGGCAGAAGATTCTCTATATACATTTATGGAGAATACCACTCTAAGTAAGACTGGACCTCAAGTGAAGTCCACAACCAAAATTAGTGGTATCAAAAGCTGTCAAAAAGAATGTTTCAGGGAGTTGCTCTTCTTCCACTGTAACCTTTATAGATTTCAAGAACTCCCTGTAGAAATGCACAGACTAAGCAGTTTGTCCTTTCAGACTGTCCTTAAACTGTATTCTGCTGTGATGTTCCAGGCATCTGACAACAATGGTTAGGCTGTGCCAGCTGCTTACTGCGCTAATCATAATTTCACATTGTTACCCTATGCTCTCTTCCATCCTTTGCATTTGGCTACCTGTTCATTATCATAATTGGCCCACTTTTCTCCTTGAGTTCTTCCCCTGTGATTGTATGCCCCTGTTATCACTCAACATATGCTTAGTGGTTTCAGTATGACAGAAGCCGACTTGCTTCCTGCTCTGTACATTTACTTCAAATACTCCAAGAGTACATGATTATTCTTAATTACTTTCTGAAAAGGAAAATGTAACTTAATCCCAACAAACTTGCTTAAATAAATAAAATAAAAACAATAAACCATGTCACACAAGCTTCAGCAACCATTTTCAAATGGAGACTAAAGAAGGGTCTGAGTGACTGATATGGGTTACCTTACCAAGTCTCGACTGAATCTACAGTTTGTGCAAATCAGTCAGTCTTCTCTGAAGCAATAGCGCTCGCTCGCTCGCTCGCTCGCTCTCTCTCTCTCTCTCTCTCTCTCTCTCTCTGTGTGTGTGTGTGTGTGAGAGAGAGAGAAAGAGAGAGAGAAAGAGAGACTGAGAGAAGGATGTTGCGATTCTACAACCAAACTATGTTGAATCTGCTCCGAGACTAGGTGTATGTGCCTAGCAGTTAATAGAGAGCAGACAGAAAGCCACAAATTTAATCTCTGGTACCTCCAGTTTAATAAGGCTATTAGGTAGATGTCTGACTGTGCAGAATCTCTGCCAGTTGGGGTAGATAGTACTGAGCTAGACAGACCAATGGCCTAGCTCAGGATAAGGCAGAAGCATGTGTTCTTATGAAAATTTCCCAGTGTCTACCCCAGCTCTTACAAAAAAGAAAAAGGATAAGGTGCTGCTGAGTTGATTCTGTATTTATTACTTTTATTGCTTTTGCTGCAATAATTATTATGTGAATGATAAAGACTATACTGAAATGAGAGAAAGGAGCTTTTAATGTTTATGAAGCAAGCATTTCTAATATTTCAGAAAATGAATTGTTTAGCCTACTTTATTATTTTTTATTTGATCTGCATTCTGACTTTCTACCAAGAAAAATGTCACACAAAGTGGTTTATAACCAAAAGTGAAACCAAATTAACACAATAAAAAATCATTTAAACACAACAGAAAACACAGGAGTAACAGGATAAAAGCAGTGCCCTGCAAAAGTGGATTCTCTGGGAACATGCAGCCTGGTTTCTTTCATCTTCAGCCAACTTTTAACTGCAAACTTTGATGAAATATCTACTCAGGCCACTGTTTCTGCAACTTTCCTCACTCCCAGAAGTCTCCTGTTTGCCAGCACTTTGGGGGAACATCTCCTCAGAGTGCATTTGAGTACGTCTCACTGCTGACATTAAATACGGATCCACAGCAATATTTTAAACAAAGTCACTTTGAGGCAGTTCTTTGTATTTGCATTTGGTGTACCTTTGGCCTATTCGTGTTCAGTATTTGTGGGCTATTGAGTTTATCATTTGTTTATGATAATTAAAATTTTCATTGTATTATTTTTGAGCTCTAGTTCCTTACGGCTTTCTCAGTGTGTGCAATAGTGGCAGAATGGCCTTTCTCCTTTGTAGCTGCATAGGTATCAGCACAGAGTTTTGAAATAAAGTGACCTTATTCATCTGTCTGCATATACAAATTTGACCTAAATTTCAAAACCATAGTGAGCATGTATCACTAGCAAAGCATTTAAAACTTTGAGCACGAGAATACCAAGAGTTCAGGATTATATTGATATCCTTGTTAATAAATATGAAAAAATGAATGTCAGGAAAAAGAAAATTCCTCTTTGGCAAACATATTTTTCAAAATATTAAACTTACATTCTTAACCAACCTACAGTGGAGCTGATCAAGATTTGCTAATTATCTATAATGGGGCTGATGAGTAAGGTCTATCAATGTGCCAACTAGCGCCAATTGGAGAGCCAGTGTGGTGTAGTGATTAAGAGTATGGGACAGGCATTCAGGCAATTTGGGTTCTCTTCTCTACTCAGCCATGCAGTCAACTGGATGACTTCGGGCCAGTCAGAGTCTCAGCCAAACCTAACTCACAGAGTTGTTGTTATGGAGATAAGACTGAAAGCAAGATGAGGAGAATTGCTTAAGCTGCTTGGAGCTCAGTGGAAAAAAGTGAGATATAAATCTAATAAGTAAATCAATAAATAAATCTAAACCAACTGCCCAAAGAAGAAGGATGGTCTGAAAGTATCTACAAGTCACTTTGGTCTGAAAGTATCTACAACTCTCTTTGTCAGAGCCACACAAAGACAGGGGCCTGGGATTTTTTTGGTAGCTTTTGGGCCTGAA